ATGGATGGATGGATGGATGGATGGATGGCTTGCAAATGAGTAAATGGATTTATGGATGAGACCATACATCATGAGTTTTTTAAGTAGCTCTTCTAAACTCGCAGATCATGCTTTATCGGGTCTAAAAACACCCGCCTTTGCCTCGTGTTTTATTCCCAATAAACACTCCTGCTTGTTTATTACACTATACTAAAAACTGAAATAAAAGAATTCATACAACAACAAAGTTGTTTGTCCTCCTTACTTTCCATGGCTACAAAGAAGAGAGGAATGATCAATAGGAGGCTTGACTTCTATTCTGTCATTTAACCATATTCTTAACCATTCACTTGAAATCCACTCATAATTATCTAAAAACAAAAACCACGCAGTCAATAAACATTACTGTCAATTATTTACTATCAGTTCACATGCAAGGCTTAAATAATATGGCGAAACATATAATTTTCTTGCTGATTTTTGCTGACCCTAATATTTTTTCATTCCCAAATGCACCACAGGGTCCCCAGTAAGCTCATTTCCACTGTTGTATCAGTAAAAAAAATCTGACCTACCGACCCCAATCATTTTTTTCATGCAACAGAAACACACTTATTTTTTGTTTGGCCTATTACCAATTATAGGATATATATTATTTCTGATTGAACAAGAGGAGTACAATTTAATCCCAAATTGTACTCTATAGAGTCCCAATTAAGTTGCTCAATTTTGTTGAGTGTATTATAAACAAAAAATCGCACTAACTTCTTATACAATTCGGAATTTATAGATACTTGTGAGGTTTTGTTGAGGAGTTGTCAAATTAGACTTGTCTAAAAGGGTTGTCCAATTTTGAAAATTTTTAAAAACATCACTCGTACCTATAAATTTCAAATTGTATTTGAGATTGCAATTTCCTATACTAACCTCCCACAGCAGGTAACATCTGAAGGACTGACTGGACCTCTGCCTGAAGGTTTTTGCCTTTGGAAACCATGTCATCCTATGTAACAAGAGCATAAAAAAAGACTAGCACCACATAACTTCTCCAATATCAAGCTCCTTATAGTTTGCCATTACTATTACCATTGCCATTCCTATCCATTTCGATTTCAATTCTTTTACATTCCTATTTATATTGCTTTCCATTCTCATTACTTTCCAACTCGCACGTGCAAACATTTTCAGTTAAGGCCCTGTTATGCGTTGAAAATTTTAGCTGAAACTTGCTTGCAATGGTGTTGCGAGACAAGTTTTAGGAGGGTGTTACATGGTGCAATTTCGTTCTGAAACTTGTTCCCGACAGTTCTACTTTTCGTGAAACTTTCTCACGACGAAAGTTTCACAAAGCCAAAATTGTGCCATGACAACTTTAAATCATAACAAATGTCATGCTTACTTTCATCCTATTCATTTCTGTAATCCATTCTTCAAATTTGCTGTTGTCTTTGGCAACCAATTCTTGTAAATGCTCAGGCACCTCAACCACTGGTTTTGGCATGTCTTCTACACAAGCAAAACAAAGTCTTTGAAGATTTTTATTTTGAAACAGACCTTTTTTGAATTTGTAAAATACTCACTACAGGACAGGAGTAAAAGGCAAATCCTACAGCTACCCTACCCTTGACACCCACCAACTCTGCTTATGCATTCATTTTGTTAATTCTCAAGTCCAATGGCCTATTCCATTATACTGTAGTCATCTTTTGTTGCAAGGCATTATGGGGTGGCCAGGGGACAAATAAAGGTTTGTTAAATTAATCACATTGATCGATATTAACAACTCACCACAAGAAAATACAATGAAAGATGAATTAAGATGGAATTTCGCTCAGTTTTACCCATAAAAGAAAGGCAAACGCACACACTCTATACATTTTGGTCATTTTTGTTTTGTTTTGCCCATTGGCAACATGGCTGCCATATTATCGCAGTAGTACATTAACCTATGACAACAGCAGTAACAGACAGACTGTGGATTTTAGCACCACACATGCCCTAATACCCCCACTCATCCTCCACATACCATCAGTTTTCCTTGTATAGACCAACATGTAAGCATTCCTTGACGTGTGATATCCCTTGGAGCACTTTGGCCTTTTAGCAGGTTTCTCGCCAGGCTCTAAAAAATAAAAACAAAAATATTAATGGCCAATGTTTAACATATTTTGGTGAGAATGAAGGAATTGCATACAGCCTGCATCTAACATCTTCTAAGTGACAGTGTGTGTAATACTCCTTTTCGCTGTTCCGTTCAGAGCCAACAAATACTAGTTCCAAGTTGAGTTCCAAGTCGATGAGTTGCAGTGCATGACAAACTATAGTTTCGCAATGTGCGGCAACTCAAACATTGACTTGAAACTTTTGTTCCTGGTCACTTAACGGAACTGTAACAAGGATTATCATATGACCCGTATCTGCCTGGGAGCGCACTCTTAGAAAAACCTCCGGCGTGAGCAGAGCCGTACGGATCCGTACGGCCCTGCTAGAATCCTGCAATCAYATTGACATAATTTGCAACTTTTAAAATATCTCTATTATTTAGGGTCATATGATAAAATGCTTATTGACTGAGCTAGGTCGGGCAGTACGGGAAAATATTTGGCTCGCTGCGCTTGGTTGGTACGGAATCACCTTGAGCCAAATATTTTCCCGTACGGCCCTCCCACTCAGTCACTAAGTACGTAGTGTTTTACTTCAAGGTCATAAGAATTGCCCACTAATCCATAGCAAATAGTAATAGAGCCTCCTCAAAAATTACTGAATCCTCTGGGTCTACTGAAAGATGTTTGGCAAGATGTTTCACAGTGATAAGGACATCAAAGACTCACCATTGGATGTTTCGTCTTCACCAGACAGCTTCAGTTTATTCTGCATTTTTTCTATATCTTCATCATTAAACTTGTACCAGGTGTTAGTCTACATAAATCAAGATTTTAAATTTACTGCTTACATGTAAAAGTCATGGTTTGAGACACTGCCTGACCAACACTAATGGTCTTGAAATACAAGTAACTGAGGAGAAAGTTCTGCCTTCGTAATCAAATCTACAAAAAAATGGTAAAATCTTCATGTGGCTGGGAAGACCACTTTTAATGGTAGCCCCACCTCTCCACTCTGCATGATTACTAACCAATATCGGATGGACCTAAAAGAATCACTGTAAGAACATAATGAAACTCTGGCAGTGATAACCCTCAGTGCCTACACTTCATGCGACAAAAACAAATTAACCACCTCTCATGATTTGAAGTTCCTTTGATTATAAAAATACAAAGGGTGCTAAATCATAAGTCATTAAACATCGTGCCTGCTATTTCAATATGCTAGATGGGTTACCTCTTTGTCCTTGATGTGAGCCACATAATGTCCAGAGTAGGCACTTGTACCATGATGCATCAGTACTGCCGTCAGCTCATACACAGGTGCATTTTTCTCTTAAAACATCAATCATAATCATTATATTTAATTTCATCATCAACATCATCATCATCTYTTGTAAACAGCATTATGATAATCATGATATTGAGATTTGCATCCCTCTTGCTCTGTTATGGGTCATGCTTCAATATCCTAACACTTCCATTGTGTTCTGCAATCCACTAGTTCATACGTGTACTTTATAACTTTATAACTAGAAATCGCAGGTGGTGTAGCAGTGAGAGCTCTCGCCTCTCATCAATGTAACCCAGGTTCGAGTGCTGGAGGGCTTGGTATTGTATGTGAGTAGAGTTTCTATTTGGTTTTCTCCTGTGCTTTGAGGGTTTTTCTCCAGGTTCTCTAGTTTTCCTCCCTTCACAAAAATCAACTCCTAAATTCCAATTCTATCATACGTATATTACAAGGGCCGCAGGTGATACTCTCACAGTATCAATATATCTCCAATAAAAAAAAGTTTTTGGGGTTACAGCACTTGGTCATTTATAGCAGYGGCAAAGCGAGGAGGGGAAGGGGGGAGGCTGACTAAAAAATGTAAATATTCCTTTTTTCTATTTTTTTATTTTTGTTGGCTACCTGTGGATTCGGCAAGAATTTTCACACCAAAACACATGTGCTCACTCCTCCAACTCTGGTACTATGGCTATGCCACTGATCCATAGTATACATACCATCATTTATATCATCTTTCAGGATTTCATTCATGTTCAAAACATCTGGGAACTGAACATGGCTGTGTAACTTCTTCTTATAGCCAGTCTTTCTGTGATATGGGCATGACAATCGAGACCATTAATCCAATATGTTTAATATCAAATTCCTCTTATAAGTAAGATACACTTGAAGTCATTAATCCCAGTTATAAGCTGTGTCACATACTGTACTATACTACCAGGAGGTCTTTTTTTTGGGGGGGGGGTCGGGAGGGATATTCACCTTAGCAGACTTGTGGACTTATAACCAGCAGGGGAGGGGGGTTATAACCATGGGGGACTAAATATCTGGGATTTTACTTTATGTTAGATAGTTGCTCAAATTTTTTTGGTACAGTATAGTCAATGTGAATGAATGTGAGGAAGCAGGGTAGTCAGAGTGACATAAACACAAGGAAATGCAATAATAACTTTTAATATGTGAGGGGCTGTGAGATGATCAGGGTGGGG